TTTCCAGTAAATAAATTTAATCTTATAAATACAGACTTCTACTAATAACAATATTTGGCATGGTTTGCCACTTTATAAATTCAGAGCACTGTATCACTGGAATCTTTAACTCCATTCTCCTTCTGTAATGGAAGTGTCAATATTCTCATTTGGCAAATTGAGAAATTGAAATAGAGCAGCAAATTTGGTTACCCAGGATCACTATAGCTGTAATTTAATTAAACATGTGGCTGCTGCTTGCACCAGCAAGGGCTGCTCCCACCAACAGGGCACTGTGCCGCAGAAGCTGCAAATTCCATCCAGGACCTTGGGTAAATGTTGCTGCCTTAGCTATTACTTTAGGTATAATTTCTTGTGTTACAATTATGCCTTTGGATGCGTGCGGCAAAGTCAAAATTAAGATTTCTTTCTTCCAAAAGCAGTGCCATTTCTCCTATTTTGCTGTACACGTCCATTTAGGTTTTCCCACCTAAAACACACACAAGAGATAATGCCTGTCAATACAGACACACACACATAAAAAACCAAAAGCTGTGCATGTATGCAAGAGTGCACTAAGAATGGAGCTAGCAGGAAGGCAAACAGAAATATTCTGTGCTTTAAACTTTGAAATCAAAGAACTGGGAGAAGGCTTCGCTTAGTAAACATTGCCCAGTTGTTGATGCAAGTTGTTTTAGAGAGCTTAAGGCAAAAAATCCAGAGAAAGAGAAAAAGAAGACATTTGTGCCTTCCAGTAACTTATCCTACAGCTGGATTCAGGGTTTGGTCACTGCTCTCTCTTTTTCCTTTCAACATCTTTTCCCTCATGTCAGACTCCCAGGCTTGGCGCAGCCTGACTCTGTCACTTTAATTCTGTTTAGATTTCAGGTCCAGAGTCTGGGTTTAAATCTTTATTCTATACAATGCAAAATGTAAATGACCAAACTCATAAAAAGTGCGTTTCTCGACCAATATATTTATCAGAGAAAGAATCATAACATCCAGCAAAGGTTTAATCTCCTAATGCCTGTGAGCAGAAGAGTATAATCCTGGACCCACTGAAGCTGAGTGCAAAACCTCCACTGCACCAGTTTGCCTCGAGACCTGCTCATTTCTGCATGACTCTATTCTTAAGAGCATCCATTACTTCCAAATATATTGAAAATTAATATTCTTGTTGCTATATAGAATTTATTGTGTTGGTGTTAGTAAGAATTAGGCAAGAGTTCTAAACTTAAAGGCAAACAATTTTAAAACAGACAAATGGTGCTAATTTTTAACAGTGAGGATAAATCAAACTCCTACAAGGAGTAATGGTTTCTCCAGCTCTGGAAACCTCCTAGTTGAAGTCTGAAAGCAGCTCTGGAAGGTTATCAGGTCAAACAAATATTCAGCCAGTACTACAATAGCAGGCTAAATTTATCAATACATTGATATTAAAATATAGGTGCTAATAGAGGTGGCGCAGTACTTTTTTCCTGCACTGGCACTGAGGAATCACAGGAACAGCTTCAAATTGAGAGAAAGTGGGAAAGTTACAAAGTTCCAGTTTTACCCTAGCTACAGAAATATTTCTAAATGGAAAAAAAGGCTGGATTCATAAATACTTATTAAAGAAAACTATTTCTAAAATGCTCCTGGTGGTTACCTGCTAGCTGTGGGACTTCAAAGCATTCCCACACCTAGGCATACTTCTTTTTGTCTGAGTAGGTTGTTGCCATTGATTTCACTGGGCAAAAATTTTAACCCAAATTTTAGGGAGAATAATATTTCTACCAGCCTTTACTGAAGTGTTTTGCAGGTGTGAACCATCTCACAAGTAATAAGTTTATTACTTGCAAGTATGAGTTTATGTGTGGTTTGTTTTGGAGGAGACATGACTGACGAGCATCAAAACCCAGACAAGGAAAAGAGGGGCAAGTAAGAGAAGCTGCTTTGCTTTAAGGCAAGCTGAGGAATACTGGGGTTATTTCTGCTCACGCAGGAGAACACCTTTATTTAGACTATGGGGCCTTTTGGTGGCAGACATGCAGTGCCCAGATTTGTTTACAGAGCATGTCATAATTACGGCTGTTAAAATAATACCACTGGAAAATGTTTTACTGATTTTTTTTCCTGTTTGATTAGCCCTGGGGGATAACAAACCTTCTCTAAACCAGGAAACCTGTAAAACTCTGCTTTGATAAAGCAGAGCTCCTTCATTGCTTTAGCAAAGCCCCACTGCTCAGCACGCAGCTTAGTGAGACACAGTATGAGGGGCTGGGTCCCTTACCCAGGCGTTCAGCCATAGGTCCCTGCCATCAGTGCTTCAGTGAAACCGCGGCTGCTGCTCTATGGGGAAATAAAGAAGCCAAATATACTTTCCCCTTCTTCTTCCATCTTTGGAGAAGAGAGGAGAACTTGTTGCAGAGAAACAAACGGTGATTTCCATGATTCAGTCCCACAAGGTTTGGTGAGACTGCACATCACTCAACATTTCCATATATACAGAGGGTGGGATAAAGACAAATCCTGCCTTAGACTGCGATAAGATCACTGCACCTGCAGAGAAGGAGGTGGCAATGATACTGACTAACACAGTCAACAGTCTCTGAATTTGTCCTTGGGAATAAAAGGGGTTGAGCTTGTAAGACATAAGAAGCGCAATAGGTAATCTGTCATTCAGCACAGGTAACTTCAATTTTTTTCTTCCTCCATGTTTCCAGTCAGGCATGTTTTCCAGTGACACCAAGGCACCAGCAGTAAGGTAGGTGGCTTGCATTTGCTGTTGGCTATTTATTACGTACTTTTACATTGATCTGTAAATACATCCGGGAGCACTCACACCATCTGCTGTGCATTTGTCAGTCACTGAATGGATGGTGGACATCTGGGGTGTCACTGGGTTTTGTTGATTTTTCCCCCATTAGAGCTACTGTTTCCTTTTTTATGTGAGCAAAGAGCCAGGCTGACTGCAGTGAAAAGGTGGGTGGGTGTATGCAACACTGCCTCCAAATCCTCAGGATCTGAGTTTTCTCCCAGGCTTCCTTCCACTTTGTAGAGCTCAGAGTACAAAACTAGCATGAAACATAAAAGGACCAACCATAGTGCTCCCTTGCAGTATGAATGGCAATATTAAATGATAATGTGGCAGACAAACTGGTGTATTTCCTGCATGTACAAGACATCACAAAACCCCAGATTTGGGGAGGAAACAAAAAACAAAACACATTTAATTTAATGCGTTCCCCCAAATTCTGTTTTGGGAGCTATTACACACCCACTGACACAGATGGGGAAAGCCAAGGCTGCTTGTCTGAGCTCCAGAACCAGAGTCAGAATATTGATTAATACTCTTCAGAAAATCCCCTTTTTGTCACAAGTGGTTCGACCTTCCCCACTCTTTTTCCTGTGTATCTGTTATCTGCACACTCAGAAATACACAGCTTCTCACAAGTATGTTCTCTAGAATCACCAACACTGTACTATCATAAATCATGTTTAAGCCCTGACTTTTGGAAGAACTAAAAATAGTAATATATTGATTTTAGCATAATAACTTCAAGATTATTTGGAGCATATTTGGTTTGTGTTTCCAAGATAAGCATCTTCTAGACTGAAAATTAAACTTCAGAGATAGTTATATGATTCCAGCTACTAGTGCGCAAAAGAAACCGCACTGGTGTCATGAGAAGTAAAATAATCACTGCCAGCTCCCAGCATTTCCTGCTTTGAAGCTGCTTTACAGTGGTGAGGCACGAGCACAGGGTGCCCAGAGAAGCTGTGGCTGCCCCATCCCTGGCAGTGTTCAAGGCCAGGTTGGATAGGGCTTTGAGCAACCTGATCTAGTGGAAGGTGTCTCTGACCATGGCAGGGGGGATGGAACTAAATAACCTTAAGGTGGAGTCCAACCCAAACCATTCTATGATTCTATGATCCTGCCCTACAGAAATTGCAAGTGCTGCCACAAGGACTTCCCTGTGCTGGGAGAGGTAAGTGCAGGCATGAAGCGAAGGTGCTCAAGGCAAGCTCCAGTGCACAGGGGACTCTGGCTGAAGGGGCGACTCTGTTGCTCAGCCCCTCTACGTCTGAGGCACATGGCCTTCACCTACCAAAAACATGGTTTACTGGGGCTAGAGAAAACTAGTTGCAGCTTCTAAACATAGCTGTGGCTGTGCCCAATATAATAATTCTAGTCTGTGGAAGCTGACAAGTTATTTGGGTGTACGCAGCTTTGCATAGCACACATGCGTAGTTTTTTTCACATTTTCCAAGTGATTTGCCATACGGCACCCTTCTTAGAGATTCTGCCATTAAGTTTTTATAAACCTGTTATTTCCTATGACTCATAGTTCACAACATACATAAGTAAAAGACATGTAATCATCATACTCATCAAGCTTCTCCGATACTGGGCTTCTGATACCTTTCTGAACAGTTAACTGCAAAACAGCATTGATAGCGCTGCAGTTCAGTGCCTATTGCAGTAGACATTGCTCAAGGTCACACCTGGCAGACAGTGGAACTGTTTGCCTAGCATGCACTGTACCAAAACATGTTTTCCAGGAAGTTTGCTTTGCTTTTAGCTCTACAACAGTACACCAAAAGAATATCAAAATTAGCATGTGGCCTATAAGCTTTGCTAGCCATAACAAGTTCATAGATCATTGTAACACTGTTCTTGAGTCAGTTATCACCGCTATGCTCTATAAATATGTTAGAATACCAGGGCAGGTTTCAAGAAGTCACTGTGACTTACATCGTGATCCTCCTCAGGGAGGGAGGGAGGGAAGGAAGACTTGTTTTCCCACCTTCTGTGGGCTGCTGCTGTTTCCAGGAAAACAAACAAGGTACAGAGTGATTGCACATTAATTCAACGCTGTAAATGCATTGCATTCAGTTTTCTTTCAGAAATGTCTCTTGCATTTCATCTAAGGTAAATTGTCAATATTAGAAAATATACAATTGCAACCGGGTCACAAGAAATCCAAGAATAGCTTTTATATTTCATGACTTGTACAGGATTGCAGATATTCCCTTACCTTCAAGTTTTACTTTTCTATTTTCTTCATGGAATTTTTCTCATCATTTCTCTGCTCTCAGCCTTGCTGCCTGCAGAATGCTGGTAGAGATGAGATATACATCCCATTCTGGTGTCGTAAACGAAATGAAAATAAATACTGCTTATCACTCGCTCTCAGCCTATTTTCTTTCTCATTCTGTTGCTTCTCAGTGTAATATAGCATTACAGCCATTTCTGTCTGTATGGGAATCATGGACCCATTGGAATGGACCCATCATGGAATCATTTTCATTCTAAAATGGCTGTGAATTTCAAATTCATGCTATATGTGCAGAACAGTTAGGAGGAAGACATTTGTACAATCATCTGCAAGTGTTTGTCTGTAATGAATTAGTACCAAAATAAATTAATTTGTATCACTCCTCCATCTGGATTATATTTGGTGGGGAAATCAAGACAGTCAGGATTAGAGAGAGGAGTCTTAGTACAAACCTAAGATGCTCAGTTATAGACAGTTTAAAAGCTATGCTTGATAGGATATACTGACATTTTAATTCACTTCTTAAGGTTTCTAATTTTCTATCTGAATTGCAAAATAAGAATACTAGAACAGGGTTTTGTTGATAACAGTTTCACAGATGATGGAGAATGGAATTTTTTTGTTTGTTTGTTTGAGGCAGAATGAGCAGTCCATTCTTTTGCTTGACCTCTCCGTATCTGGAGAATATGTAAACATATTGAAACTTTGTGGTGTTCTACAGTGGGGGAATGAAGTGCATCGATTGCTTGCAATTATTAGCTAGAGTGGGATAAGCCTTCTCCTTATTATGCAGATTAGTGAAGCTCTCAGTTCCAACATATTGTACAGATGCAGGAGAGCAGCTGCTCTTACAGATGGCAAGTACACAGCTCCATTAGTATGTATCTATTGTCTGCTCTTGGCTTGCTCAGAGGATGGAGAGGATGGGTAAAGAGGAATTGTCACACAGTAAAATGTAAAGGAGAACAGGCACTCTTAAAAATCCATACCCAAGAGACTATTTACACAGAAGGACAGACAGCAATCAAATTAAAAGTCTACCCTAAATAAGGACTTTCGTAAGTCACAATTAAGCTTCTATAGTTTTAAAATATACTAACCACTACAACCAAGGAATAGAATTCAGATTTCACAACTAAATGGTACTAAATAAAAAGAAATCCTTGAAGGTTCATTGAAAATTTGGTCATGTATTGCGCCTGTCCAAAGCTTCCTTTAACAGAACCTTTGCCCTCCAAAAACATCTCACTACCCCAAAGAACAAATCCTCACTTATTTTTCATAACATAAAAGACAGAAAAGCAGAACTGTGCTTCATTTCTTAAGCTTTTCACCATAAGAATATAGCATTTCATGCAATTTTTTGCATTAATGAGAGCTGAAGCAGCTAAATTTAAGTTAGTATAGACAGCACTGATTGTGCACCTATGTCAATTATTCTTTGTGAAAATGCTAAACAGAACATTCGTTAACCATGTGGCAATTTTTAATGTGATGAACAATTCCTGAGGAAACATACAGCTACAGGCTGACTGCTGAAAATAGTCTAGTAAGGAACAATTATTTATAACACAATCTGGGGCTGGATGCACGAATTATGGTTGTACCGGAAGGTTTTATGCTATACTTAACATACAGTTTATTTTTATTTAGCACAGAGATGGCTTAGAGTGAAAAAGAGTGATAAGGTACAAATTAAGAAGGTGGTAAAGCCTAAGTTATGGTCTCATTCCAATCTGAAAGTCTGGGAAGCCAAAGATGCCTAACCAAGTGCAAGGGAAAGAAAAAATATATATAAAGAAGCCCATACAAACAAACCATCAGGTCCATATAAAATTTAGGAGGTATTTGTCCTTAGTAACAAGCTTTTACTCAAGATAATCTCAAAAGATGACTTGCCTATGAACAAAGTCCATTACACCTGTTCTCGTGACTTGCAGGCCCTGGAGATCAGCTGCACAGTGCCTGGGCTATGAGGTGCCTTTGCTGCCCTTCATCGCTAAGTCTGGGGTCCTCTGTGTTCAGGGAGAAATTACTTAGTTTATTTTGAGCATTGATTTTAGAAGTAAAATACTAAAGGGTACACAAAGCACTGCCGGGTGAAACTGCTGCATTTGCTTGAATCCTGCATCTGAATGTCACCCAGACAAAAGCATGGAGTGAGCACCCTGTTTCAAAGATGTTGAATTTCCACAAGAACTTAAAAACACAAACGTAAGATATGAAAATGATAGGGGAAGAAGACTGTTTTGAGCTGGCCAAGAGCAGAATATTTTTCTCACAGAAAACCGGAAAAAAAGTATAATTTAATTTTTTTAGTGGTTTGGATGTTTTTATGTGAATATAGGTGGTGTCAGGCTATCCAAATATGCATCCACTCTTCTAAGCTTGATCCCATCAAAATGAACATTCATTGAGAAGTTGTTCTGCTTCTCTTTAAGCCTTACTTCCTAACTAGATATGGATTTACTTAAGGAAAAGATTAATGTTTTCAGAAGGTTAAATAACAGATCTTTCCTTCTGACAGCGATGATTTTTATTTCTGCCCAACAGAAGAGAGTAGCTACACCAGGACACTAGGGTGGCTTTCCTGCTCCAGAGATGAAAGTTGAAAGTATGTCCAGGAGCTCATGCTGTGAGCTCTGAGTCTAAAATAAATTTAAAGCAGTTTTGAGCCTCTGGGCAAGGCAAATATGCAGAGCGCAGATGCTCAGATCTCTTCAGACAATGAGCTGTGTGAGCATCACCATGTCAAGCAGCATCTCAGGCAGCCCCTATGAGAAACTCCAGTGTCTGGAGATCTATAGATTAGTAGTACATTCAAATTAATCTTGTATCTGGTCTCACAGATTAAATGGATACACTTGAAGGATTTTGCTTTGAACGAGTCTTACAGGATTTGGGCTTAGATGAGAGCAGAATTTTTACTTTCCTCCCAACCGCATCCTGTGCATCTGAGTCTGCAGCACATGGCTCGGTCTGAGAGTGACCATCCAATCCCATCAGTCCCCCTCTTCTTAAAGGCTATTGCTTCTATGTTAATCCAGGCAAAAATAAATCCCCAAGTATAAGGAATACTAATTTTGTTCCTATAGCTTTTTTTTTGCATTATTGATGACAAATGTTCCTAAAACTGATATGATCATCATACAAAGGTAACACATTGTTTAGGCTGAAAAAAAATACTATGTGGTGGGCTGCTTGGCTCTAAATATTTACTAGGTCATTAATTTTCTTCTTCTTACCTGGTGGTTGTTTTTTTTTTAATCTTTGCTGAACTGCTTTTTTCATGTTAATAGAACCTAAAAGTCTGTGCTTTCTTCAGAGCATGTGACAATAAATTCCAGTGCAGTATCCTGAGACTATAGCTTAACATAAAGAGAACATTCTCCTTCTCATGCTTTTCTGTTTGGTAGTTTATCTATAGAAAAATGTACAGCTTACCTGAAACATATTAAAAGGAGCAATGCACTTCAAATTGTAAATTTGAGGGTTTTCCAATGCTATTTGATATGGAAGATAATTTTGTTGAAACCTATTATACCTTAAGAGATCCTTGAATTGAATTCCAAGATTAAGTCTCCAGATGCCTCCAATATTATAAAAAAAATTGAGAAAGGCGAAGATCTATCTTTGTTCTGAATTTAGAGGGCTTTAATTCAACCTCTCTCTAATCCTAACAACCAGGGCTATGCCCTAATTTTACCTGGGTTCAGGTTTTAATTTTAATACTGTACTGCTAATATACTAGATTCAATAACCACATAGCACCACATTCATTTGCAAATTTCTAATACTTATGGTCAGGACGGTACTGTTTACGAATCAGGCAAGCATAGAAGGAGAGATACATTTTCATCAGCACAGCACAAAAACAGTAGCAGAATCCCTGCCTGGAAATGTTTGCCATACAAAACCTCCTAAACACAAGCCAAAGTATAATCAGAATTGGCTATTATGAGCCTAGGAAATCAAAATAGTTTTTCCTGGATTCTTGTTCTAACAATACAGAACCTGGGTTTTGAGATACAAAAAATGATATTACACATCTCTAGGATTTTTTTCATCAATTGTCTTGCCAAAAACAACTTGTGCAAAGAACAATCACCATTATCTTATCAGGGACATGAGGTAACAGGCTGCCAGTGAACAGGCTGTGACAAAACAGGGGAGATAGAGACATCTTTTGCAAAAATCTCAACTCAGTGCTCTGAAATGAAAGGTTGTGATAAAGTACTCTCTCTCGATTTGAAATAAACAGCTAATAAAATGGAAATCTTATAAATTCATATCCTTTAAAAATGAAATCCATAAATAACCTGTTTGACATAATTTTAATAATAGCGTTAAACAGAACACATTCATTAATACACTTTCTCACTCCATGTACGTAATAGTAAAGATCTCATTCAAGAGACCATGGAAAATACATAGAATGTTATTTTGGAAAGATAAAGGGCTTTTCTGATGTTGCTCAAGCAAGCAAAATCAGACAAAACCACTTTGTGTTCCTATTTGTAAATCTAGGATATGCACAGCCAACTTCCTGGGGCTCACAGCTTTCCAGAAGAAACCTTCATGTGTGAAAGCCATGCATGAAGCAAAATTTGATGACAAGGAGTTCAAGATTTCTGAACTGAACCTGTTGAGTTTTGAGTGTTCAATATTCTAAGTGTCCTCCACTTAAAAAAAAAAAAAAACAAACCCAGGGATGCATTTCATTATTTAATTGTGTTTTTTACTAAAGCAAAGAACCTCCAAAACAACTTTCAATAGGGTTAAGTCATGCAATACAAATGGTCATTATTTTCAATGTCACCTGCAACTTCTATGCTATGCTGAGGTTGGATGAGCTTTTATAGACATTTGTACTCCACCATGCAAGAATATGAAATCTTGATGACCAAAATGTACTGTATTTTTTTCCTGTTGATTTAGTTTAGAGAGTAAAAACATATTTAATATGGAAACAGTTGAGGGCAGAAAAACATCCTCATCTCCCCATTTTTGCTACATTCAGGCAAGAGCTGCTCTTTCAGAACTTAACTGTAGCCAGTCTGTTATATTTGGTTGGTTAGGGTAAAATT